TTCAGTTGGTTTCAGTCCTTGATTCATCATTTGGATTTCTCGGAACAACCCTGGTATATTCTCTGTTTCCTTCACTTGAAGGCTGACACAAAATAATTATGCAAGCTTGCCATGCTTTACTTTCTTTTGCAATATGAGCTATGTCTGTTTTTGAAGTGACCATGTAATAATGTTATGGCTAGGTGAGGAAGGGCTATCAGAATCTCTCTTTTTAACTCTATCTCTGTCAGTCCCAATGAATACTTCTTTGTTTTTTTTTGCTTGCAGCTATCACACTTAATTAAAAATTAGTTAATTAAATCAAAATGAAGGATTCAATTCTAAGGTTTCCTTAAGTGAAAGGAAGCTTTTTATCACCTATTATCCCCAAAAGATAATAAAAATTTGGCATCAAGTCCACGCACAAATATAGGTAACAAGTTTGAAATGAAGGGAGCACAGTTCCTTTGATGATCCTAGTGCCTGGTAGCTGTGGTCATTTTTATTTGCATATATTTTCAAAATGCTCAGAATGTGCATCCAGCATGAGGCTGCAGCTACAAGATGTGAAGCAGAAGTAGGCCATTCAGCCATCAAGTCTGCTTTGCCATTCAATGAGATCATGGCTGATCTGATAATTCTCAACACCACTTTGTTGCACTTTCCCCATAACTCATGATTTCCTCATTGATTAAAATATTCTTAACAAGTCTCTACAGCTCCTTGCAAATTGCACATCGATATTTCAATGAAGCAAAAATTCCTACAGCTGAATTTATATGGAGGCGGATAGGGCCATAGATAACTTGCAAAACTTCCAAGAGTGCTGTCAAGCATGGAAGTGAATCACTCACCATCCAGACTATGATAATATATGCTATTATGGGCAATGACAACTTTCATTGTTGATGTGCGGCTAAGACTGGGAAGCTTCATGGAGCACTCCCATCATACTGCTATGCTTAGTCACTCAGCTGGTGGATTATCTCTAACAAGTAGGTGGCTAATGCAAAGGACCTTGAAAATGCCATCCATGGCCCTTGTTTTCAGATGTCTCGTTGAATGGGCGAGTGTATGCTGTCATCATGTGCAAGATTTGGCAGCACTACCTCTTCTCAGAGCTACACGAGTAGCATACCAGAACTTCAAGACAGCCAGGAGCAGAGCAGAGGCCATCACTAAGGAGAAGGTGCAGGAGAAACTGAAAGGTCTGAAGATGGATAAAGGAGATAGCTGAGGAGATATTGGAGGTATTGATGGTGATTTTTCAGGATTTACGAGAATCAGGAACATTCCCAGAGAATTTCAAAATGGCTAGTGTAACACCTCTGTTTAAGAAAAGGGTGAGGCGGAAGACAGGAAATTATAGGTGCGTAGCTTGACATCAGTTGTTGGTAAGATTTTAGAGTCCATTATCAAGGATGAGATTACGAAGTGTTTGAAGTGTATGGTAAAATAGGGCTGAGTCAGTATGACTTTGTCACGGGGTGGTAATGCCTGACAAATCCATCAGAATTTTTTGGGACGATAATGAGCAAGTTAGGCAAACGAGAGCTAGTGGACGTGATCTGTTTAGATTTCCAGAAGGCCTTTGACAAGGTGCTGCATAGGAGGCTAAATAAGAGGCTGTGATGTTAGGGGCAAGGTAATGGCATGGATAGAGGATTGGCATACTGGCAGAAGGCAGAGAGTGAGAATAAAGGGGTATTTGCCAGGATGGCAGCTGGTGACGACTGGAGTTCTGCAGGGGCCACTGTTGGAACCATAACTATTCATGTTATACACCAGCAATGTGGAGAAAAGAACTGAGGGCAATGTGGCTAAGTATGCAGATGACACAAAGATATTTGGAAGGTCAGGAAGTGTTGAGGATGTGGGGAGGCTGCAGAAGGACTTGGACAAACTAGGAGAATTGTCAAGGACATGGCAGATTGCTGTTAAAGGTCAACCAGTATTGCATTATTGCACTGATGCTAGGGATGCCAGTCTATTCCAGGAAGCTGGGCAGTGATAAGTTCCTTCAATTTCAATGAGTGGTAGACTTGGGCTAGCATTAGATATGAGGAATGCCAGAGAGTTGAGTTGGTCATTAACGAGACATGTTTGAAATGATAATGCAAGAAAACCCGTTAGATCTCATGAGAGAAATTAACACTTAGCCAAAACAAACCACCTAAAATTCAGCCCAATGAAATGATGATGTAGAGTGAGTCAGAATGAGGGAGCTGATGTGGAGACTTCAACCTACCCTATGTGCAATTCAGTTAAAAATCCCTACAACATGTTTGTGGAGCATGTTTCTGGCACTTGATTTGTAGAATCCAGCATTTGTCATGGCTATTAAGGTCATACAAGGATCAACGTGTAAGAAGGTCAGTGTAAATGATTAACATAAGTGACTGTGACAGAATCTGTGGAAAGTCATTCCTCTTGCTTCAATCAACTCTGCAGGGAGTATGGGAAGGGGGATTGATGTTGGGTTTATGTTTGCTGTACACAACATGTTTAAAGCAAATCTGAATTTCTTTTCCATTGAAGCCCAATGCAATGTAAAAAACAGTTTGATTCAACTTGAGACCATTCCCCACAACTGGGTGTAGAACTAACAGCAAGGGCTATTTAAAGTTGCAGCTGAAATTAAATTGTGCCTTTCTCCTTGTAATCCCTGCTAAATTGTTCAGAATAAAGCAATAAGATAAAACCTAATCATTCACAAACTATGACTTTTTCAACAATAATGATGTGGGCATTTACTATTGCAAAATAAGATTCAAAATGTAGAAGCAAGAACCACAGATTCTTATCCTGAAGGCTTCAGTTTGAGACAGTACTGTGAAATCTGTTTTCCTAGAAATATCATCTACCTTTGCCCAAGTCAAAGTTCTTGGCTAGCTGACCAGTTTTCTGGGACTTTACAGTGAATGTTGTCATCTATAATTATCCTTTGAGAGAAATAACAAATGGTCTGATTGTTCTGGATTTTACACATCGCGACCTACCAATTTTTGCCTACCATTCAGTGAGCCCCAGCAGGGGTGTGTTTCCAGTAGTTTTTTTCAGATGAGTTTGTGCTGGCATGATTCATTATTTCCACTAAACGTTGTAGAGTGAAATGAATAAACAGCCTGCATGCAGTGGTTCGATAGTAACACTGTTCATCTAAAGACAATCATACATAACTCATAGACAAGAAGACCCAAGATCTGCCATATAGAGTTATAGAGCCATATATCACAGAAACAGACCCTTCGGTCCAACAAGTCCATGCCGAACATAATCCCAAACTAAACTAGTGACACCTGCCTGTTCTTGGCCCATATCCCTCCAAATCTTTCCTATTTGTGTACTTATCCAAACTGCTTTTAACCATTGTAATTGTACCCATATCCGCCATTTCCTCAGGAAGTTCATTCCACATGCAAAGCACCCTCTGTGTAAAAAAAATTGCCACTCATGTCTTTTTACAATCTCTCTCCTCTCACCTTAAACATAATCCGCCTAGTCTTGAAATCCCCCATCTTAGGGAAAAGACAACTACCATTAACCCTATATATACCCCTCATTATTTTATAAACTTCTATCAGGTCTCCTCTCAAACTCCTATGCTCCAGTGAAAATAGTCCCAGCCTATCCAGCCTTCCTTTATAACTCAAACCTTCCATACCCGGCAACATCCTGGTAAATCTCTTCTGAACCCTCACTAGCTTAATAATATCCTTCATATAACTGGGCGACCAGAACTGGACACAGTATTCCAGAAGAGGTCTCACCAATGTCCTGTACAACCTCAACATGACTTCCCAACTCCTATACTCAAAGGACTGAGCAATGAAGGCAAGCATGCTAAACACCTTTTTTCTACCACTCTATCTATACGTCTATATCTTGTCTATCTAGTTTGTAAATGTCTTTGCATTTGTAGGTTGAGCAGCCATTTTGTCCAAAATATGTCACAAGGTTGTTCCTTCAGTTTGCATCACCTCATTTTATAGTCATCCTTTAATAAAGCTATTGCTTTTATTTTGACAAAGCAAAAAACTGAGGAGGCAGAGGGTGTTGATGTGTCATTGTCTAGTCAACTTAAAAGTGCCAGTTCCTCACTTGATGAGTTAGATTTAAAAAGGCACCTGCAGTATGTATATTTTGTCCATTTTTGAAATGAACATGAATATGGACATTAGTTAGGCCTCTTTTGGAATACTGTGTTCAGTTCTGATCTTCCAGCTATAGGAAAGATGTTGTGAAACTTGAAAGGATTCAGAAAAGGTTTACAAGGATATCGCCAGGATTGGAGGGTTTGAGCTATAGGGAAAGGTTGAATAGGCTGGGGCTATTTTCCTTGGAGCATCAGAGGCTGAGGAGTGACCTTATAGAGGTAATAAAATCATAAGGGACATGGATAGGCTAAGTAGACAAGGTCTTTACCACAGAGTAGGGGAGTCCAAAACGAGAGGGCATAGGTTCAAGATGAGAGGGGAAAGATTTAAAAGGAACCTAAGGAATAACCTGTTCACGCAGAGGGTGATGCGTGTATGGAACAAACTTCCAGAGGAAGTGGTGGAGGCTTGTATAATAACAACATTTAAAAGGCACCTGGACGTGTACGTGAATAGGAAGGGTTTAGAAGGATATGGGCCAAATGCTGGCAAATGCGATTAGATTTATTTTGGATATCTGATCGCATGGAAGAGTTAGACCAAAACGTCTCTTTCCATGCTGTATGTCTCTATGACTCTATAACATTGTAAATTGCATAATTTTACAAAGCCACATTTTTGATTGAGTGTTGAAACGAACAAATTCCATCAGGCTAAATTCACATCTTCGGCCTTTGATGTTTCCTGTGAAATATTCACAAACCATCCATTTGGACAATAGACACGGCCTAATTTTTGCAAATTTCAGTTTTGCTGACGTGAAACATTCTAATTAGAATATACTGAATGGAAAAAATATATATATTTACAATATGAAATGTTTATAAAAATGATCAGGACATTTAATTTTTGTTCATTTAACAGAAAGGTTTTCCACCTTCTTTGGCACAAGGACTACCACATTTACAAGTAAGTATAATAGTCAATATTTTAACTAATTACAAAGCAAATGAGAGATTGTTTTATTTGGCTAAAATTATTATTAACCTACTGAGAAATAAATTTCCTGTCCTACTGCTCACCAATATGCTTTCCATCAACCAACACGTACAAGACATGTAATGTGGAATATTAAAAGCAGCATGAAAAATATCCAAACAGCACAAAGATCTCTTTAGCAGAACTATTCCATTTAAATAGGGCTCAGCCTTGTTCATTTTTTTCAATAGTGCAACAATATTAACATACTTCTCTGTAAGTCGAATTTAAGTTTGTTGGAAAAGGTATTGCTTACAGGCAGCTTGATTAACACAGAAGGGGGAATCTATAATGCTTGGAAATTGGCTTTACAGTGGAAATTTTCAATTTTCCCTGTAGAATTACCAGGAGACATATGAATGAAGATGCATTGGATCATCTTTCCAAATCGCGAAGCAATCATCAGAAAACTGGAAAAATGTGAAAATTGCAAAAGAATCTTTAAACTGGCATAAAGTGGATCACACTAAAATATCGCTTCAAAACCATATCTGTATTAAATATCAGAAGACTTTGAGTTGGGCTATTATTAGCTGCTTTCTTCATGTAGGAATCTGATGAAATATACAATCTTGAATTGTAAGCATATTTTCCTTTGAAAAACTTTGGAGTTATCTTGATCGTCAGGCTGTTCATTTTAACAGCTCCATTAATGATTTATGGACTAGTGAAACACATTTTCAGATTTTCTGACTATCTTATTCATCCAACATCAGAGATTTGCTAATCATGTTCAGAAAAACAAGCTCTACAAGTCCACTAATAGCAGTAGAAGCTATGCACTAAATGTTTGGATTCATAATTTCTTGCATGTTTTTTGGCAGTGATGAGCTGCATCAATATGGTGCTAGCTATAAGATAATAGATTAGATTAGTGGTTGATGCATGAAATGGAAGCCAGTGGACCTGTTGGAGTTTGTCATTGTGCACTGTGCATTGTCCTTGTCAGGGGTATACGAACAGCGGTAATACAAAGCAGATGTTGACTGGGGCATTTTTGTACAAAATGTGAAACTGTATCAGCATGAAAGATTTTAAAGGATTTCAGTAAATGAAAAGTAAGCCTTGCTAACTGCTAATGTGGAGGACAGGCCGTTTTACTTGGAAACATGTAACCAAACCATATGGTGCATAGACACTGAAAAAATGATAGATAACATAATATCAGACAATTTCCTAATCATACTCCATCCAGTGTTGGACATCCTTGCATCAGTAATAATGGTTTCCATAAACCGCTTCCACTTCTCCTGTTCCAAGGAGACACACTAAGTTAATTGTTCAAGTTAGAAAATAGATTCCCCTGATACTTTTCACAATTACATACTTTTGTGCCTTTTTTTTATGATTTCTGTGAATTACACATTTCCCATTGAAGTGCAATCAACATTCAATTCAAACAAACAAAGGGAAGGATTATTTTTTACAAATGCTTGACTGATAAATATTCAAATACCAGTTACTCCATTATTTTCAGCTCTTATTTATTGCATATATATCCGTACCCATTAACCTGTAAACAGTGCTTCCAAGTTACAAGTGTGCAATCAATTTATTGGTATGGATTTGGAACGTTGTTCAGTTCTGGGTTAGCTCTCTCATCTTAGTGTGATCCAGTTTTGGGCGTTAGAGGTATTGGTTCAACAGAAGGCTGTAACTAACGATTGTTAAATCAGTCATTTCACTGTTGTGACAGGATAACATCCACGTTTAAATCATTGTGGCATTATTTGTAAAATGTTTCCAGTTCCATAAGCTAATATCAAAAATTAAAGTCGTATAAATGTCATCTTCCTTGCCAACAAAATTATTTCAGTATGACATGCATTTTAGATTTGAATCATTTGATGCTCATAAAACTTTGGTTAAAAAGAGAGTCAAGGCCCCTTCTCAGTTAGAAATATTTCTATGAAAAGATTTGTCTTTCTTATATTACTCCATTACACTTCTTTAAAAACTGAAATGAACCACATTTCAGGTAATTCTTTATCGCCTTTACCTTTGTATAAGATGCTTTGGGACCATCTTAACCAAGGTTATATTTTTCATGGATTATTATTGAGGAGCATAAGATTGTAAATGTTTCTGTAAGGTGGGTGTTTTAAATTCATTGTTGATTGGCTGGATAAGTAAAGAATAGAACCATTCCAATGCAAGGTGGAGAACTGAAATGATGTATGCAAGGTATTTGGCTCCCCAGCCTCATTGTTGCTGGGGAAGTTGTAGGTTGATGGTTGTGGGAAGATCTGTGGCATTCTGTCCCAGCCTCCCAGTCTGAAGAGTGCATGAGCTGGGGAGCAGCAATGGAGAAATAACTATTCAGTATAGTTTCAATGTTAGCTGCTTCCTTGTAATGTAGCAACTAAAAGCTTTACAAATGTAGCAAGTCTCATTTATTGCTGGAATTCCTAGTACACTGAAAGCAAATTAATCTCACTGGATCAGGTGGAATATTGATTTTGTATCCCACTCAATGTTATTCCTTGATCTAATTCTGTCAGTTTGCTGATTGGTGGGTAAGGTTAAAATTGGCTAAATTGTGTAGCATGTAAAACACAATATTTCACTTTATTTTGTTACAGAGATAGTAGGAACTGCCGATGCTGG